TTAATTCAAAACAATCAACACAAATGATCAATGGTAAAAGAATTTATTTTGGAAAATAAAAAGAAACAAAAAAATGTTATAAATGTGTATACAAAATAATAATATTAATAATAACAATTAAAATGAAATAGTTATTACACTAATAAATATTTTAGTAAATGTAATTTCAATAATATAAATTGCTAAAACTATAAAAATATACAAAATATTATGAAATAGTTTTTTGTTTTTTTTATATGTATTGTTTTTTTGTTTCATTATATGTTTCAATTTTTATTTAACATAATTATAAATATGTAAATTGATTTTTTATTATTTAATAGAATAATTAATGTGCTCAAGAAAGTAAATTTTGTAGAATTAAAGTACAGAATTCTTATAAAATAATTATGTGCATAGGTTTAAAGACATCTAATTACATTATATATTCAAATTAAAAAATTTGATCAATATCATAAAATTTTGTGTTCAATTAGTACTTAATTTTTATACAAAACTACTACAACTCTAAATACAAAAAAGAATTTTCTAGTATAAAGTTGAACTAAATAAAAAATAATAATAATAAAACATTTATTAAAATTTCTAAAAGTAAATTTATCATGTATTTTACATGAAACAGAAAGGCTAATATTAATCCTGTACTGTAGTTTATATTTAATAGGTATTAAAGCTTTATTAAATGGATACTTAGTTTATAGTCATTTACCAATAATATTTTTTCATTTCTATCATTGTAATATATTAGATTTAATTTTAATTATAAACATATTACAGTGATATAAAACTATTTTAATACTTTGATTTTTATCAATTAGTATTAGCTCTTATAATATAACATAATTTAAATATAAACAATTTGTTCGTATATATAGAATATAAAATAACATTATAAAATTTATGTGATAAAATAAAAATAAATAGATACATATAAAAAGATGCTTATGATTGTGTGAATAAATGTTTCAAAATTTTATATAGATTATTAGTTAAATAAATATTAAAAATTACAGTGAAAATAGTTACAATTCTTCATTTTATTGATTTTTAAAATATTTCGTTTGTTTCTAAATTATGTTCCCAATTTTGCGACAATGCATATTCAACATTTGTGACCTGATGTAACTCTTAAGCTACTAATAGTTTAACTTGTGGTTAGCTATGATTCAAAAATAGAACCTGCTATACCAAGATCATAGTGTTATGTAATCTGTTTTATAACAGAATATGCTTCGATAACTTAGATAATGCAATATATATAGCAGAAGACATCTTAATAATTTGAGCATTTACAATCTTAGGACTAACAAAAGTAAAGGTTCACTTTCTCTACGTTTGTAAATACTTTTAAATAATTCTTTAATTGTCTATTATTTTAAAATATATAAAAAACATAATTTATTAAAAATCAAATGTTAAAAAATAAAAATTTGTGGAATGCTATTTTATTTCATTCTAGTCATTGATGATTAAGTAGATTTGATTTGAATAACTAAATACAAATCCTATTTTCATACATATACTGAACAATCATGCTTGCATAATGTATAGAGGCCAGTTGAATTTATTTTAAAACTGGTTACAAATATTTGCTAAAATTGATGTAAGTAAAAAAGACTAAATGTAATTATATTTTGTGAATGGATATAAATAAATAAATATATACAATTTTGAATTTATTAAAAAGCCTAAATGTAGTTATATTAAAATATCTAACCTCAAAATTAAGATCAAATAAATTAAATCTATGTTACATTAAAAAATAATTCAAAAACTCAACGAGACTATTATTAGAACTCAAATTTAAATATATATATAAACATCTTTCCTGTTTAATATTTAAAATACTTGGAAAAAAATTAAGTTCTATCATTGCTGCTTTAAATATCTTTTGCTTTGAAAACCTGATATTAAACTAAATATTTTGAATATAATAATGTAAATTTGGGCGATTAGTTTGATTATCTTACACATGAAGTAATTATTCTTATATTTATTTTTTATAAAATACAATACTTGCCATGAATGATAATATTAATTTAGCAATAATAATAGAAAATAAATGTAATTTCAAATTGTAGTAGATTAAAATCTAACTATTAATCATTATTCTTATGTTATAAAATTTAATTAAAAAGTAATTTCTTTTCATTATTTTATTTTTAAGTTTGTGTATTATTAAATTTTAAACTTGATAGTAATTAATAGTTTGCATTGATCCAAGCATTAGATAACATTTATTTTTAAACTAGATTTCATTTCTATTCTATTGATACCAAAATCCATTGTCATTCAATAGAAAAGACCAAATTATTCATTAAAGTAATAAACTATCACAAACAGCATGTTTACCTTGACACTGTCAACTGAATACATAACACAATGCTCCATGATTCCTGCACAGGCACCCGCCATCATGTATACACCCACCGATTGAGTTGGTAGACTTTCATAATCATCTGCATTCATCCTTCCGACGCAACTTATATCTTCTCCAGGATTGTGATTTCTCTTTCTCTCTCTCTCTCTCTCTCTCTCTCTCTCTCTCTATATATATATATATATATATATATATACCTAGACTTTTTTCACTTATCTCTGCAACTCCAAGTACTTTCGTCGTAGAGCCTGCAACTAATAATCTGTTTTATTAATATTATTGGGTATCTCGTCTCATTCTACAATTATGTACGTTACTTTAAGAATAGATTCTGATCCGACTCGTGTTTTACGGTACTATCAAAGTCTCCATTCACGGATGAGAAAAATCATGATTGGCTAACAAAAAGGGGTCCCTCTGAAAAAATTGCTCATTGAGTAAAGTGAGACGACTCCGACAATCAAGTCTAACCTACCACAAAACATAAGTCAAGAAACTTTCTCCTCCGCGAATGACGAACGAGCCGGTACTGTTGCTGGTTCACCCTTGGTAGCTTCACCCAGCGAGCGTTGAGTAGCTACAACAGGAACATGTGATCGCTTAAAGATCGTATGCGTCCTATCTTACCGCCGCTCACTCTCGCTTTCGATCTCGCTCTCTCTCTCTCTCTCTCTCTCTCTCTCTCTCTCCCTGCCACTAATCACCACTTTAAATATACGTGTAACGTTCCGCGTCCCGCCCCTCGTGCGATTGATCACTGACACCACTCACGTTCTCTCTCTCACTCTCTGAATCTTCTTCCCTCTTACCTCACAGGCGACAACACGTTTGCCCTCTCTCACTCTATCCTTATCTCTCTTTCTCTCTCTCATTAAATTATTTTCCCGGCTTGCACTTCTTATTGTCCGTCCTTGTCTGCTCTTCCATACACCTAGTGTGGCGGTTGCTCACGGAACACGTTGACCGCGACTAGAGGTATTTTCGGACCTTGGGAGCCACGAGGAGTCCCCGGGTACTTGTCACGGATGGCGCGACAACGAGTACTTAGGAAATGACCAAAGAGTCGACCGGAATCATGAGAATCATTTCAGTAGGGTACTCAACGGCCCTCGACGGCACCCGACGTATATACACACGCGCGAACTACACGCGGGTTCAACGTTGTGATCTCGTAATACAACGTGCGAGCGTATACTCATGTGCTACCGAGCAAGAAAGAGTGATGAACGTCTCTGGTCTGTAGGAGGAGGTTAGAAACTCGACGCGCAGACGCGTTTGAGCGCAGCAGCGGGTGGCCGGCAGTCAGCGGCGGTGGCGGCTGGCGAAGGTTGGCCCGACGAGGCAGGGCGAGGCGGGGGGAGGGGGGGTGTCACGACCACGTGGTTTGCCTCGTAGTGTGTACCAACGGTGCACCGTTGGTGTGTTTGCATGCATTTACTGAGCAACCGGGTGAGGGGATGTTACTTTATTCGGTCGGGGTTTTCAGTCCCTCGTTGCTTCATTGTTTTCATTTTGATAAGATAGCGAGATAGCGTATCTATTAATTATCAATTTTATACGTCAATAGCAGTTGTTTGGATTGAGTTCGGGGAGCTTGCGATAAAGTTGAGAATTACGCGTCGGTGATGTGCATTGTTCAATAATGGAAACCGTTCTTTATTTTCTCCGAACCATTCTTTTCGATCTTTACGGTTTATCGCGCTTGAGATCATGAGCGCACAATTCTTCTTTAGATTCCAAATCCTGTATTTCAGATCCTTTACTCTATTCTTAATTATCGTTTATTTGCAAAGTGAAAGTCGAAATTGAAGATCCTTTTTGAAAAAGATCTAGAAAATCGCTTTGTAAATATTTATATTTTATTCAATATCTATTTTAAATAAAAGTATTATATTAAAGAAGAAGTTGACTATAACTATTTCTATACAAGATTTTTCTGTTTCCAACATTCATTTCCACTTGACCTCTTTATTTTATATCGATTTATGTAATTTTTTTTTTCCTAATAACTCTTTTAAGTGCTCCATTTGTTTCTTAATTCGACCACATAATTTAAGAAAACTAGTTTAACTACATTGTAGAAGACTAAATTATAATATTATAAGCTCAATTGATTATCATAAAAATATAATACTTCTATTTAATCCATTTTAAATAAAATTTTAATTTATTTGTCAAACATAAATATAAAAATTAAATATTCGATCATTGAAACAATACATGAAGCAATTAATCTTTATCATATTTTTGTATGTCCTTCGTAAATTTATAAGTATTACATTCGTAAACATAGTAAATATATCGGAGCCATTAACAAGATAGCAAAATTGACAATCGGGTTAATAGAGACGAACTATTACTATAATTAACCACTTATTTTCATACGCAGATTACAAGCTATGTAATACAAGTAATTTTTCAAAGCCAGTTTTTATCACGATGATTCTCACAGAATTTATTTTCAAATAAAAATCTATGACGATGATTTTGCAATACTGACATCTGTGATTAATTACGAATTACAAATTTGCAACTTTACAAACTTGGAAACAATTTGTCCATATTACTTAAATTAATTTATTGTAAACTCCAACTTCATGTCAACTAATGAACCTTCAGATGAAATGTTTTAATATAGCTATTATTATACATAGAACATTTACAATATTGTATTCTAAATTGGAACATAATATATTTATTATAATAAAATTGAAAACTAATATTTCTCAGCTGCGACGCATAACAATTCAATCGTCTTATTTTATGCTGCTTACAGTATATTTTATTTAAAATGTTTAGACTTATTCAGTTTTCAACCAAATTGAATAAAAAAACTCGAATATTAAATAATGAAACACATTTAAGATTAATATTGGATACTAGATAATAAGCAATAGTTTTATTTATTTTTAAAAATACGCTAAAACTGCTAATCTATCATCGAATTAAAAAAATTTAATTACAATAAATTATTTAATACTTTTCACGGTACAAAATATGATATTTTTAAATCTCAAGCTGGGCATTCAAAATATATTATAAAGTGTAAGAAATATGGAAACATATGTAACTACTATCTATATTCAAGGATATCAAATCATTTTAGTGACTTGATTGCATAAAGAAATAGCAAAGTTATTAAGCACAAAGATTATCGATATTAATTTAGATAGTTTCTTAAATTGATGCTACATTATATTGAATGTATATTATATTACAAGTATAGATCGACAATACAACTCCAATCTAATAAACTATAAAAACATATACACTTAACCATCGAACTACTTAAACGCGGTGCTAATTTAAAAAAATTTATATATAATAATAAGACTGATATTAAAATTTTATATTAAATATTATTCTCTTAAGATATAACTATTTTTATAAGAAATGTTAGACGATTGAATTTCTTTTTAGAATTTGAATAATTGCCGCGACATTATATAAAGTTGTGTAATTATGGACTACTTCGCGAGACATTAATACGTATTTTTATTCAAATTAATGATCTCAATTATAAAAAATAAATAAATAATAAAAAAAAACAAATAAATACATAATCGAGTTATAAAATAATTATTAACGTTAATATTTGAATTGGTTATTAATCAATGACAAAACTAAAATGTTGAAAATAAACGATTTAAATTAAAAAGTATTTTTTAAAAGATAATTGATTTATTAAACATTGAAATAGATCCATTACATACAATTTATTATATCATATTCGAACATATATTCAGTTAACACATCGTTTTTTTATTAATAATTCTATTATTAAATTATATTATTTTATATTTAAAAAATATTAATTATATATTATAATGTTCAGGATATTTCATTAAATAATTGTTGATAGATATAAATCGCAAAAAATTATTATATAACCACTAGCTTAGTATAATAAAATTATCTATTAGTTTCTAATTTTGTCTAAAATTCCAAAATTATTTTTTAAAAATATTATAATTTATTAAGGAATATCTAAAGAATGAAACGTTAGAACTAGTAGTTAAGAGAGACAAATAACCGACATCATAATATGCATTTACGAGGATGTTTATTATTATGCTTTATCGATTGCTTCTATGGCTGAGTGTCTGTGTAATATTTATGCTTTTATATATATCCCATAAACTATCGTCTAATAATGCATATAATCATCATGTGATTCAAAATAATAATTGTTATTCTATAAAAGTAACTAGGCTTTCTTACCCCTGCAATTCGACATAGATGCTGCATTATAATTGCAATAATGGTTTAGAGAAAGTATTTACTTATATTGTATATAAAGTTGGATGAGCTTTAAGACAGCTTCTGTATTGCAATTTATTTTTTAAAATTAATTAAAATATTGTTAAATATGTGTAGAATGCCTATAAATGAAATTGAAACAAAATGTAATTAATTATATTTCCATAGGTATAAATAATTTTATAAAAATTCCTCTGAATTTAAAAGAAACTAACTGTGCATTAAAAAATTTCGCGAACATAGATACGCAATTTTTGCAAAAGAACTGTATGTGGCGATGCAGAATGCAAAAAGTTTTTCATGATTTCTTTCTGAAAAATAACAAATATTTATAATTAATTTACAAAATTGTATATTTTCATTAATTTTACTTTTTAAATGTATCATTCAAAATTACTTATTTAATTTTGAAAGTACAACAGAATGAGTGTGAACAATAACAATGGGTTTGTTTTTTATTTAAATTATTTAAATATTCAAGTGGTATGTATTCTTATATAAAGTTGTATGAGATTTGTTTAAAAGTTATATTATATATTGTTATACAATATGACGATATATTTTTTAATGAATTGTTTTCAATATTTCGCTTTAGCAAAGCAATTATCAATTAAAAGTAATAATTTAGTCATATCAACTTAATTTTTTATAAAATAGTATAATAGCTTTTAATGATTTTACCTTTTAATAATAAGATTTCTAATACAGAATTATTAATTTTCAGTATTATTATTACAAAGACTTATTTTGTGATTATCAAATTAAATTAAAATAAGAAGTTTGCTGGTAATAAATTAATTAAATAATAAAATTAAATTAAAAATCATCAATATAGACAATTATCGTTTTTAATCTTTATG